TCTGTGGTTCAATTGCATGCCAATTGAATGAAAACTTTCTACAATATTGGACTTATTTCTACAGTTTTTGGCCAGCATTCCCATCACCCACAATGACCTCTGTTCAGTTGTTGGGTCGAGCAAAATGTTTGTTTACTATGTGTTTTATTGTCTGACTACTTGTGTTTGTTGCCCTGTTGGACTGTGGTTTTGCAGGTAAAATGTTATCATAGCCAATAAGAATGGGGGCCAGGGGTTTGCAAATAATAAAAATAATACATTTTCTTTGAAACAACAATACAGATAAAAGCGCCAAATAGCTTTTTCTGGCTCTCAGTTGCTGATCTCTGGATACAGGACCCATGCTGATGTGAAGTTACAGACCTTAAATGTATTTTTTGGTCCAGTCATCCTGCCTCATCAACTCATTTCTAATAACAGCAGGCGGTTGTTTTAAGCAAAACAGTTTTGATAAACACTATATACCCAACACCAAACTGCACACAGACAAACCTAGCAACTAGCTGGTTAAAATATTTGGAGCGTTTAACAGCAAAAGAGCAAGATGTTTCCCTCAGGGGTTTGTGGAGACCAAAACAGTGCTACAAGGAGAGTGGATATTGGACTTACAATCATCAGGTGGACAGAAACACAAGCCAAAATAAATGCTAATGTTGCTAAATGCTAGATGTGTAGTCAATTCACAGTCAATTCAATTTTGTGTTTACAGCTTGTTATGCTTCCCCCAAGAAGCCAAAAAATCAATTAAGGCAGATTTAACTTTCTGAGTATTTAAGGTGATGAATTGGTGAAAACAGGTTCTACAGATCGATGCCTAAAATTCAAATTTCACCCTTTAGAAATGCATTTATGCAGGTTTCTTTTTGCAAATAAAACAAATATTCATAGACACACATCTAAAACACCTTTTTCTGTTTTTAAAGCATTGATTTGTTCTTCTTTTGGTCCATTTGCAACAAAAATGCTTTCAGTCCAAGTTGATGAAACTTGCAGAAGCCTGATTGCCCTTGAGCAATAAACTTTTATCCCTGCCCTCACACTGAAATTCATACAAAAACTGGGACTTTATTTTTCAGTAGCAGACTCTATTGATTGCGGACAGTTCCATGTTGTACAGTAGAAATAACTCTGAATATGACAAAAAAGAACACACAAGTTCTGCCAATGTCTCTGTTTAAACAAAGGTTACCTTTATGTTAGACAAGAGAGCAGGCTGTTTGCAGAGAGGCTGAGGGAGGTGGACTGAATCTATAAAGTTTGTTTACTGCAACATTCAGATGCTCCTCCATCTGCTTTTTATCCAGTAAATCAATTCTGTTGCTTTGTGCTGTTCAAGGAGCTCTGCTTATGAAAAAGGATGTTGTCTGCATGCAGATTCTCACTTCTTCTGCATGCCTTTTGCAGATCCAGACTAATGTTGCTGCCTGGCTCTGCCTGTTGCATCATTGTGAAGGAGGTTAATTCTGCCAGAAAGCAAAACTTCTTCATCATCATCATCTCACCTCAGAGTGAAACCTGATTCTCAGTGTTTAGTCCTGGCTTTGGTTGGTTGGCCAGTATTTGATTGATACTTAACAGGGGCTGGTGTTAATAGATTGATGTTTCAGTCAAAGACAAAAGAAACCAGACTGCAAGATGGCAGAGTGCTCAGTGTGCGCTGTTGCTACACACCCACCAGTCATCACACTCACATTTTGGCTCTCAGATGTTTCACACGGCGGGGTTTCTAATCATGACAAATCGGGACTCGGCACAATGAGTTGCTCATTTGCGTTTTCATTTGTTTCTGCGTGTTGACTGCCGTGGTGGCTGCAAATGTACAACATCAAGACGTTGGCCCTGGCATGTCAGTTGTTTCAGCCTGTTTTTATTTGTGTGCACGCTAATGAGGAAAGTCTTTGCTTGGATTCATTCATACTTCATGGGTGTTATTGTTCTACTATAATGCATCACATTGTTTCTATTTATAGTTTCGCTTGTCATAACTGATTTGGTTTCTTTCTGTTCCAGGTGAGTGATTCTTATAAACCCCCTCTTATACTGTATCTCCTCACCATTAAGTCATATTCTGATTCTGTTTTATCACTGGTTTTATTTAGCACTTTTATGTTTTAACTTTCAAATTTGCTAATGAACATCATTGTACAACAGAAGAGTTCAGTAAACCAAGCCTTTTGGAAAGTGGCTGCAGAAAACATGCCTTGCCAGCTCTGTTACTCATAAGGTCTGGATGGCCTTGTGGTTAGAGAGTAAAATAGAAGACTGAATGATGAGTCAGTCAGTGTCTAGGTAATCTTCTATCAGATAACAGTAAACAGGCAGCAGTCAGTTCACAGAGTACTTTCACTATTGGGCCTCTTGTTCTTACCAGCTGCTTTGTGAATCTATAGCATGTGTGCACGTTTCTGCTTATTTTAGGTCACCCAATTAAAGTGTGGAATGTTAACCTTAATAGTTTGTAAGAAATGGTACAAGCTTTGAGTGGTTTAGGGCTATTTTTGTTACCTATTAATCTGCCAATCTTTTTTTTTTGTGATGAATTGATTTATCCTTTAGTATATAAAACTTCAAGAATAATGACAGATTCCCATCCCAGTTACTAGGAGAGGTTATTTTAGTTTCTCTGGCAAGCTAAAATTATAATCATATAATTGTATGAAGTGAAAGAACGTTTCTTAAAACTGAGGGAAACACTTCCTGGAGTCTCTGCTGACAGTGATGACAAGACAATCAGTTGAACAAACAAGATGCAATGTGTTAATAATTAGTGAGCTTTAGAATTGCTGGTAGACTAGCAGATAGTGGTACTTTTGCACAGAGCCAGGCTCGCCAAGCTAACCAGCTACTGGCTGTAGCTTCATATTAAATAGGCATGGAATTTATCTCATTTATTACTCAGCAAGAATGCAAATAAGCATATTCCCTAAAATGTTAAACAGTTTCTTTTAAAAGTAGTGACTCAAGGAAAATAAAGGTTTAGGTCCTCCTAGCCCAGCTGTTACAACAAAGAGGAGAATGGGGAGATATGGATACAGGCACACATCCACAGACACATGCAGGATTTTAATGAGTTGACTTGCTCCACAAAGAGAATCCGGGACATTAAATTTAGACTTTTTTTTTTTTTTTTCCCATGGCAGGCTTAACTGTAGAGAGGAAGAAACTTTCCCTCAAGCTATTTTTGTAACCCCTAATAAGGATCTGATTATAAGACTTGACATTTACAGAGAAAGTGCTAACATGTCAATAACCACAACTGACAACCTCACAGGGGATGAAAATGCTCAGCAGATTAATTGCAAGCTGCTTAAGAGTGGATGGGGAGGTCGTCGACCTCTCGCGTTAGCCTTGACCCCAACCTGAACATGCATCGACACACAAATGTCACCTGTGATTTCTACCGCGTGTGCTTTCAAGTTGATTTGCAGTGCTGCCCTTTACTTCCACCTATTCTCTACCAACGACTCACTGTAATGAGACAGAGGCCAATGGATTGTGTCAAAACTCTTGATTTTTTTTGTCTACGTTCATAACTCAACACACAAGCTGCGTCACGCTCCATCGTTGGTGTTTCACTTCCTTTATGAGCTGAAACACTGTGTATTTCAGACAAATGATCAATTATGCTTTTTTTCCTTCATGTTTGACTTTCTTTTTTTACCTCCCTTGTGATTTGTCTCATTTCTGTCAGTGTTTTTCCTGCTCATGCAGCGGTTGCAGGTGTTTTTGTTTTGATGTGAGGGCTTGCTGCTGATATTCAGGTCTTGGTGTCATGATAGTTGACGCGTTTGTTTCTCTATTTATGGCACTTTGGCTCCTTTGACAGTCGACTACACAGGCGTCGCCTTATTTACTGTGGTCTCTAGCTTTCCTCATCCTCCCCCTGCTCTTTTTCTCCCACCGTCGCCTCCCTCCCTCTGCTCCTCACACTCTGCATCTTTCACATCATTGCAATCCTCATCTTCCTCTTCTCTCCTTTGTTCTAATTCTCCTTATTTTCTTGTCTGTTCTCTTCTTTCTGCAGCTTCAGTTCCTTCTCCTCCTCCCCCTTGTTCCCTCATAATCGCCTCCCTCCTCCTCTTCCTCTGGCCAAGGTCCATGTTATAAATCAGAACAAAATGAGACTGTGCCTCCACCTTGCAGTGATGGAAAGTTACATTTAAAGTACATTTACTCAAGTACAGTTTAAAGGGTTGTCGTACTTTACTTCACTATTTCCAATATATGGTCATGTGAACTTCTACAACACTACATTTTCATGATGGGAATTAAGACTATTCATCTGACAACTACAATACATACAGTATGCTTATAAAACATGACTGTGTTATACGAAAAGCGTCGCTCATAGTGATGAATTCTTTGCTATCCAACTCTATAGCTCAAAGTTTTTAGCATCTTTTAGCTCATTGTTTTGATTTTACGGCCTCCAGCTTTATTGTTGTTGTTGTTTATTGTTTATTGATCAGCTGTTCTCAGCAAAAAACCTCTGGTAAACCCATTCTAAGCTACCAGGAACAGACAGACACAGTTTGTGACTAGCTGGTGAAGATAGTGGAGCATTTAGCAGCTAAGAGCCAGATATTTCCCTCAGTAATTGGTGGAGACCAAAAACAGAGCTAAAAGAAAGACTACAAATAATACTAATGTGTCTCCGAGTGTGTTGAATGTGTAAATAAGCAACTGTTTGTTGCTTCATCATATCAACTATATAAATTGATAATATATCAATGTTGTGTTTACACATTGTTTTTGCCAAGATGACTAATGGTGTAAAGTACATTTTGTTAACACTGGTTTTACTCATTTTGAATGCTGGACTTTTACTTCCCTGATTTCAAGCTGTATGTGAACAAGTCTTTAAAAACAACTTTTTTCAGTAACTGTAGATGAAACACATCGGCGTCTTGCTGTGCAGTTGATTGGAGAATAGACAATAGACAGGCTTTGTTTACTGGTCACTGACCTTCGCACTCCTTCTTTTTCTTCCTTCTCCCTAGCAACTACTGAGGGAGATGCAGCAGATGGCCAGCCGGCCTTTCGCCACCATCAACGTCGCCTTGGAGACGGACGAGGAGCCACCCGACCTGATAGGAGGAAACGTCAAGGTGAGTGCAACCTTTTCTTAGAGCAATCACCGCCAAACCCCCGAGAGATCTACCTGTTGTCTTGGCTGACGGGACATCAAACGGGGAAGCTCCATCCATCATCAGGGTCTTCGCTCATCCTCCCTCAAGTGGGAGCTCAGTCTTGTGGCCTTCGACTGCAGTTTGTGATTACAGTCACGCTGTAGTGATAGATATTCCTCACACCATCTGTTTTACGTCATTTATGAGTCTGAACTCTTTAAAATGATTTCATTACTTTTCAACAAGCCAAGGAGGCTAAATTGAGCTCACTTAGGAAGAAGAGTTTGAAGTGTAGTGCAGGTCTAGTCCACCTAATGAGGGTCAATGCAGTGTACATTTGGCGGGACAGTGAGAAGGCCGGATGATGATGAAAGTTGGCTGCTGATGAGTAACACACCGCATTATACCAGTTATAGCCAGTTATTGTGGATAGGCTGTGAATTCTAATGAGAATGAATTCAGTTAACCCTGGAGTTAAATACATGCAGATTAGAGTATGGTATTTTAGATTAAGACTATACTTAGAAATGAGATAAGACTTTTGTTCCAACATTGAGATATTCTTCGTTTGGAAATGAATAAATAAATTAACGCCTACTTGCAGGAAATGTTTTCTGGCCAGAAAATAAAGACCATTATGGCACTCTATTTAAAATAATGCTTAATCTTTATAAAGGAGGCTTGTTTTGGTTCGTCAAACCATCTGTGTTTTTGAAATACTGACGGAAACGTTGAAGGTAGCAAGTTGGAATATGTTGATGGATGTTGTCTTCACTTCCTCCCACTGTACAGAAATGAGGTCAAAATATGCCAGATACTGCCGCTGCTATCTTTCGCCACTCTGAGCCAGAGTCTGCGCCGTAGTGAGTGCTGTTGGCGCCACGGTTTTGAAGTCGCGCCCATACGACCGGCCGAGTAAATCACAAACGGGGCTCGGCTGTCAATCATGACATAAAATCCCCTTTTTATAGCTTCAAATGACTAATTAAAACCAAACCTATCAATTAAATTAACACATGAACATACATCAGCGTGATGAGAAGTACCTAAAATAAAAGAAACCCTCTTTGAAATTTTTTTTATTTTACATGCACTTTGATTTTTTAGTTTGGCCCATCTGCTAACATGAAGGCAAAAGGTTTTATTACCTATACTGTGTACCTGTGTAATATGCCTATTACCTATACAGCGATGGAGATGGTTTTGCTTCACTTTTGGAGAGCTGCATGCCATCCATCTTTATATATCTTTATATACATTTAGAACAAATCATAACACTGTTGTTGGGACCACATTATATCGGACCAGGTCATAGGGTCAGGTTCAAATTCTCAGTGTAGGTCCTAAAGTGAAGATTTGAGTCACCCAAAGTCTGACACAAATGAGAAATATATTTAACCCCCAAGATCAGACACCGCCCCAAACCCTTTTGCAGTCTGGGTGTGTTATTGTTTTAGTCTAGCTGCTAAAATATTAATTTAAGCCAAAAGTTTCCACCATATGTAGTAAAATAAATAATCAATAATTTGTCTAAGTAATGCAAACTCAGAAACACCCAACTTTATGATGTTTTGCATTCATTATTTTTGGTTGCTGTTATTGTTCTTTGGTTTGAGTTAATACATTACATATATTTTCTTCACTTAAAAAATAGATTTTCCATACTTTCAAATCACAGAAAGCACATTTTCTCACTAATAGTGGTATCCAGCCATGCTGAGGTTCGGAGATATGTTTGGAGATATGGAACTTCTGTCACCACCCCAGTAACAGACTTTCTGTTTGTGCTGCTCAAAGCATTGAAAAATGTTCCCGAAACGATGTCCAAGTTACTCTGGAAAATACAGTTTTTATAGGGACTTGCATGGATGTATTTAATTATGAGTCATACAGCTCAAGTATTCTGAACCCTCTGAGGAAGAAACAAGACATCAGATTTGTACAGTGGAGTAAACAAGACTCACTTCTATATAAAGTAGAATTACCTGCTGTCTCCTAACAATGGAATTAGTAAAGTCAGAAGAACCAAGGGCATTAAATACAGTTTCCAGGGTTTGATAAGCAACAATGATTATAAATTAAAACAGACTTCTGTGTCCCAACACTTTCTTACCAAATAAACAAATTAAGCATTAACAAACAATGAATCAGTAAATTTTTCACCACAGGTACAAAGTAGTTACACTGAACCTGTCATCAGCTGTGTCCTGTGAGCTCTACAAAACAAACTGTCACCTCCATTGTATCAGAGAGTATCAAAGAAATCTCCGATGAGAATATCTTAAAACAAAAATATCTCAAAACTTGGGCAAGTCAAATTTAAATTATAGTAGATATTATAAAAGTCAGATATACGGAAGTGTTACACTAGTAGCCGCTAATGTAGCCTCAAGGAGAGATAAGGAGCAGGGTACCAGAGATCCGGTGAGCTCACTTCTTTCTGACTCCACACCAACACATTTGTTTCATTTTCATACCTGTAGTCTTTAGCCCCACCTGACACTGACTCAAGAGACATCATTTAAGGCAGGTTATCAGATTTCACGCAGCTCCCTCTGGAACCACAAAAGGTTTCATACAACTTCTTTTCACTTACGCAGTACTACTCCCAAAGACCTGTATACAGACACAATTTGCCAAATAATTTGATTGTGGGCATATGCTGATCTCCCTCTTTTGCCGAGACAAAGGCAGATGCTTTGAACAGATTTAGTTTAGTGAAATTATAGTCCACTTGAATGTAGGGTCCAGGCAGAGTGAATGGTGTTGCAGTAGATTTAACCATAAAGAAGAATCAGTGTAGCAAATTAAAAGTTGAGCTGAAGCCTGTTGAAGTAGTATAAGGTTTGTTTAAATGTAAAGCTCAAGCTGAGTTGGAGATGGTGGTTGAGAGGGCTTTATTATAGAGAAGAGTTTGACACACTAGCAGAGTAGCTTAGAGCAGATTTAAATGCAGATCTTGAGCCTAGAGAAAGCAGCAGAGAACATTTAAAAGTAGGAATTGTGCAGAGTTATAGAAATTGTAGTTGAGTATTCGGCAGGCACGTAGCCGCAGGCAGGTATACCTGTGACTGTGCACCTTGTGATGAATGACCTCTGAATGCAGATGTAGTGCAGAATTATAGGGCTGTTTCAGCAGGGTGACTCAGGGGCCCCTCGGCTCTGACAGGGGCCATGCATCTCAAGGGGCTCGGCTACCGAGCACAAGGTTACTCCCAGCAATGTCTGCAGGGCCCCTGGGGAAGATCAGCAGCTAATCAGATCCCTGCTCAACACTCTTCCTCTTCACTCCTTGCCTCTTTTTTTCTTTACTTTTTCATCTGTTCTCCATTTTGTTCTTTTTGTTGATGTTCTGTCCTGTTCTCTTCTTTTCTTCTCCTTTTCTTTGATCTAACTTTCAATTCTTCTCTCAGAGTGTCTTATGTTTCTCTCTGTTCTGTTCTTTTCCTCCTATGTTCTGTCGATTTATCATATTTTCATCTTTTTGTCTTTTTCTTTTGAACTTTTATCTCCTCCTCTCCTCTCTCCTGGTTGCTGATCCCTTCTCTCTTTCTCTTTTCACTTGTCTTCTTTTCTGTTTCTCGTGGTCCTGTTGGTCCCCTCTGGTAGTCTCAGCATTCCTCTCTTCTTCTTGGTTTTATCATCCTTTTTCTTTTTTCCTTGGTCTCCTTTTCTTTTCTCTTCTATCTTCCTCTCCTGTCTCTTCCTCTGTTCTCCTTGTTTCATCTCTCCTCTACTCTTCTTTTTCCTTCACTTTTTCATCTGTGTTCTTTATTTTTGTTCTAGTAATATTCTCCTCTTCTCTTTTCTTACCCATTCTGTGTCAGTTGTTCTTCTCTGTCCACTGTTTTGTTCCATTCACTTTGTTTTTTTTTATATTCTTTTGTATTTTTTGTCTCTTTTTTTCCCCTTGTGTCCTTGTTTTCCACTCTCGTATTTTTAGTTTAATTCTTTCCCTCTCTTATTTTTGTATAGTTTATAATTACTTTTCTTCTTTTCTCTTTGCTTCTCTTTGTATCTTCCTCTCTTTTCTCTCTCTTGTCTCCTGTCTGGCATCCTTACTTTACTACAGTGTTCTCCACTAATTTACTGGCCCTTTACTGATCCTATCAGCTGTCTGGGGTTTTCTGTTGGCCTTATCTGCTGCTTCTGTTTGTGTAAATATGTGTTTTTTTTGTGTACCTCTGCATGTTTGTGTGGGTGTTGGCATATGTGCTTCTATGTGGAAAGAAAAGATGCGGCTCGCTGTGGAAATCAGGCGCCCCCACCCCTCCTCCGTCTCTGCTTTACCTTTTCTCCTGCTCTTCTTTTCTTCCATTCTTTCTGGCGTGCTCTCCTCCTCTCCATCAGGGCAGGAGCAGCCCAGGAGCAGAGATCCAATTTAGATCTTCCTCCTCAGCTTTCTCTGCCTTTACCAGCTCAAATGGTGAGCGTGCACTATCCTATCTCCTCCCGGCTCAGATTGAGCGACTGGGAGCAGGTTCTTCCCCTTGTTTCCATGCTGTTTTATCAGGATGCTACAGTAGTGTATTAAGACCCGTGATCGGAGTATATGGGGGGCCGGGTGCTGCACAGTAGGCTGAAGATCATTAAAGTTGTTTATAGCCTCGGTGGGAAGTCCAAACTTGCTCCGCAGATGAGATATATTCACTGTGCTTCTGCCAAATGGAGCTTGCGGCCCCGGCATCACGGGCAGATGATTACCTTTGTGACGCCTCCTGCTCTGCTTTTATTTATAGATACCGTGGGACGGGAAAAAATCGGGACATGTTATGCAAAAAAAAAGGGGGTGAGAAGCAAAGAAAAGGGTTGGGTTTATCTGACGTGATTGTGGTGCACCCGTTATCTTCACCTCCACTTGTTGTATATTGCACTAAATTAAAGACATCAGATTTTTATACCAATTGTGCAAGTGTGATAACCTTAAATTTCATCATTGCCAGTTTTACAGACGAGAATTAAAAGGTCAAAGGTCAAAA